CTGGCACCTACAGAAAACATAAGGGTCCAGTGAGCCTTGAAAAATAACTTCTTTAACAGTTTTTTGAAAATAAGTAGGTGGCTTCAAAGTGGTAGATTGTTCAGAAAATAAAAATAACAGAACTCAAGTTTATTGACTGCTTTTATTCACCATTACAAGACTGATTGTCATATTTCAGGGGTTTCCATTACTGACCAGTTACTGTACTTCTCACAGTCACTGCCATGTCACTCTGCGACGACACACTCCTGTGTAATTTCCCAAAGTGTCGGACCAAACTGAGTGGATTCGTCTGGGTCACAGCCTGCTCACATGTTTTCTGTGACCAGCATGGATCTGGTGAGTTCAGCCGATCCCCCGCCATCTGCCCGGCCTGCTCCTCTGCGCTGTCCGGGAAGCTGGACATTGTGAGGACAGAGCTGTCACCCTCTGAGGAGTACAAAGCCATGGTGCTGGCAGGTCTGCGACCAGACGTCGTTCTGGATATCAGTGCTCGTGCTCTGGCCTTCTGGAGCTACCAGGTCGTGTATTTCTCTGTCTACATGTCTATCTGCAAATCTCAGCCAAGTTGTTTTCTCTTTAAAGAAAACACCTGGTTTGTCACTCGCTGTGTTTTTACAGGTCCATCAGGAGCGAATCTATCAAGAGTACAGTCTGTCACGGGCCGACACACAACTGAAACAGATGGAGAAGGTGCTGACCCAGCAGAACCAAAGCAGAGAACTGGAGCTCAACGCCATGAGGGGGGAAATAGCCTCCCTGAAGAAAGTAAATGACATTGAATGCTGATTCATTAACTTATGCTACAAATTAACCCCTTGAACCCTTATCAAGCATTTCTGAAATTTGGTAGTCGTAATCTGGTTGAGAATAGCCTCAAGTTGCATTTTGACCAACAAAAAAATACTCTATTTGTTTTATGTCAGATAAACTTGTGCGACATCATCTCGAGCTCCTTCCTTTCTTGACTTTGGATTTTGAAGAAATGCACATAGAAGAACATGTTTTTCTAAATCTTGATGCTTAGGTGATGGAGGAGTATAAGAGGAAGTACAGTGAGGTGTCTGAGCGACTGATGGAGAGGAACAGACAGTACCAGAAACTACAGGGGCTGTACGACTCTCTGAGGCTGCGTAACATGGTGGTGGGTGTTGGGGAAAGAGACACACTGCCACAATCTGGATTTCAAGACTTCAACACAGGTAATAACACGTAAGGTGTATATTTGGATACTGGTGTAAGCTTGTAGGAGGTTTTCTGTCCTTCCATGAATTTTATGAAAATATGTTGAGGCTGCCTTTCATATACAGAATTATGAGTAGGATATAGTATCTGGATCATTTTTTGTGTTTCCAATTAGTTTTTGAAAATAGCAAAAAGCTGCCTGACAATGTTTTTCATGTTGAAATGTCAAACGTAATGAAAAATGTTCATGATGATAATAAATCACTGATAAAATACGTATTTAATAGGTAGTGTTACTTTCAAATGTAAGCAGAAATATTGTTTCTGAGACAATTTGTCAACAGATCAGTATCCACCAATAATTGTGATTATTCATTAACCCTCTGAAACTCAATCAGTCTCTGGGCATTTTTTGTTCCTGTCACATTTTTACTTACAGAAGTCCTGCACCTCTATGGTAATATCACAGCCATAGCAAGATGCAGAGAGAATTTAAAAATGTGTACTGTCCAGAAGGGCTGAATGATATGCAAAACAAAAAAAAAAGAGTCTGGAGAATAAGAGTTACAGTGTGGGGCATCTCTGTAGTACCACATTGATTCATAGGAATCGGTATGCTGTGGCACATTATGTTTTTATCAATAAATTACTTTTACAATTTTAATATTGTTCTTGTCCATATTGCGATTTGGATCATATTTCAATTGTTTTTTAGCCTTACTATGCAGTTTAACACAGTTCGAATGCCATAAATCATAGTTGAATCAAGTTGTATTTCTTTGATTATACAACATTTTTAAAAACCTGAAATCAACATTTTTGTTGTTACCATACTGGGAAAATGGTGGCTCCACTTGCTATATATAACTTACTACTTGCATTTTTTATTTGTTTGCATACCTGTCGCCTGTCTGGGCTTGGTAAATACAGCCTGCAGTTCAGCTCTGTTCAGCCAGAAATTCCCTAAATTTTTGTCATGTAATTGTTTGTTGCCACTGAGTCACTAATGGCTTCCCTGGTGCACTGAGGAAGAATTTTTTTTTTTGGACAGATTTTGGTTCCAGCAAATGTTTCATTTCGGCACATCACCAATGCATCAATAAAGGGCTGACAGAAAGTTGGAAATCTAACAACTTTTTTTTTTCTGATAAATGGTGTAATTTTGTCTAATTTTCGAAAACAGATAATAGGGCTTTAAAAACTGCCAGTAACCTTTGTGGTTCAGAGGGTTAAAGGAGCATTGTGCCCAGTTTAAGGGGTTCTATTGGAAGTATAATATTCATAATTCTGTATTCTTTAGTGTGTAATCACTTGTAACTATGAATTGTTGTGTTTTAATTTAGCTCCGTATATCTACAAAGGGAGAGAGTTCCTTTTTCCACGCAGCCCACCGTGTTGTACTGTTATGTTTCTACAGTAACCCTGAACAAACAAGCCAAACGCTGCCTCTAAAGAGGGCCTTTTGTGACTTTACGTTTTAAGTGCAGCTGCTGTAGGTTCACCTACATGCTTGGAAATGGAAGGTGTTCAGTTGGTTGTAGTTGGCAACTTCACCACTAGATGCCACTAATTCCTGCAGGCTGGTCATCAAAGTAGTTCGAGCTTATTAGGGAGGAGGTAGACTGCTGATTAGACAACACAAGCAATCTGTGTCAACTTGGCCTCTATTCAACTGCACTAATTATACATTTTATACATGAAACGACAAATCATTCAGTTAATTAGGGGAGAGATTAGTTGATAGTGAAACCAATTGTTTGTTGAAGTCCAAAACAGCATGTTTGGCAGGAGGTTTATTGTAAAATATCACTTTAGCCCAGACAGATAAAAGAAGATAAATAAGAATTAGATGCTTTCCTAAAATCATGAGAGCAGGTTTCATATGTGCCCATGCTGACTAATGAGAAGAGGAAGGAAGCACAGCAAGAGTAATGTTAAGTAGCACAAAGAAAGACACAGCTGTAGGTGTTTTGTCAAAAAGAGATGGTCATCAAGAAAGAACAGCAGGAGTAATGAGCCAGTTGTCTTTGTCAGGGAATTTTAGTCAGAATAACAATGAAGGACATCCATCAAATGTCCTGTGTGTCACTCAGGGGCGGCTCAGCAGTCGACTCCCCAGAGAAGCCCTCAGTCCTTCTCCCTCGGCCCCGACAGGGACGGCCGATTCTTCTCCTGCCTGGAGGCTGATGGAGCCAAGACCTTCTTCCAGTTCAGCTCCCCTGCCAGGGAGAAAGGCCGATCCTTCATCAGTAATCACTGAGAGGAACAGGTTTCATTAGTTACAATTATTCATGTGACTGTTGGACTGTGCTCTGTTGGTTTGTTAGCTATCTAGTTGCAGGTTTTTGCCTTAAGTGCATTTTGCCATAGTTATGGTAACTTTGAACCTTAAATGTGTTTTGAACAGTTATATGACATAAATGTTGGCTTTTAGTCGTCTCTGTACGTTTGGGTTATAGTAAAGTTCAACATCTGGTATGTCTTTTCTCAGAGCACTGCCTGACGCTGTTTTGTAGTTTAGAGTGGATGTGTTCCAATACAAATGTTACTTTAATTTACAGTATGCCAGAAGTGCATAGTATGTCAATGCAGTATGGCAAAAATACCAGGTTGTCCTACTGCATCCAGTTATAGTATGCTTTGTGGCCATTTTGACCCTCTGTCCTCAGATACCTCACAGTGCCTTGCACAAGTATTACAAAGCTCGAGCTGCCAAAAGTGCACAGAAAGATGGTAAAGCTTACGGCACAATATTATAATACAACATATACAAATAAGTATGTTCCAATTGTACTGCATGAGACAGTATGTTCTTTGTTAGGTCAATTGCAATACGTACTGCAATTAAAAATTAAAACCTATGCATGTTTGAATGCAGGGATTGCTTCTGATTACTAAAATGCCTAAACTTCAGTTGTTCTTCATTTCCAGCATATTTGAACAGACTAATGGTTTCAGGGGGACACCACTATTATATACATATATATATATATATATATACTTCAGTTTTTTTAATATATGATTAATGTCTAAACAGTACAACAGATTTAGAGGGATGGAAGTCATTTCAATGGAACTGAAGCAAGCTGATTGATTGTTGTTGGCAAAAAAAGTTAACAAATTCTCTCATGTCATGTAGTGTGGAGATACATACTACACTATGGCACTGAAACATTGTTTATTGCCTTCAGATTTTGCATTAAAAAAAAACATTTCCTTTGTCACGGTAAATCATAGATGCTACTGAACCACTACAGTGAGATGATCGGTCATGCACACAGTTTTAAAAATCTGATTTGTGGTGTTGCTCAAAACAGTAAACTGTTGATTTGTTACATTAGAAGAAATCTGGGTTAGACGGAGCTTTTGATTGGTTCTTTTTTGGAAGGGTTTCAGTAGTGATGTCATTAAGTTTGTCACTGCATAGTAATCAACCAAAGCAGTCGGTTAACTGCCTTACCCAGACTGAATACATTTCTGATGATAAACGATGTAAACTAAGATCAACAGGTTGTTTCATGAAACATATTTTGCATGTCACAATAGAAAAAGTAAAGGTCTAAATTCTAAAACTACTGATGGCTGACTTTCATTTAGTTGCATCAGTTTGACGGTCCTGGTATTGGACATGCCGACTCGCGGTCACACTGTCATGTCCTACTGGGAAACTCGACTACAACAGAGCCATTATTATTGTGAGTAGTAAAACCTTTGCTTTTCCTACTGTGAGAAGTCAAAATATCTTTTTAGGAAGCCCAGACTGGCCTACTGTCTGATCCCACTTTGAGTACTATTGTTTTAAGACACCACACAAACATATGTGTACAGTAAAAGAAAAAAAATTCCAAAGTAAACTAAAGTCATAATGCTGACATCACATTGTTATCACAGGTTCATCGATTTCCACAATAACCCCCGTGTCTGACCCCATAACAACAGAATACAAAAAATATTTATAAATATCAACAAACATAACATGGTGACCTCTATATACAAAAGAACACATGAAAGAGGCACAAACTTTGGACATTTGGAAAATTATGCAAAATCTTCTTCTAAATCCAGCAAAAAATCTTGGTCCGTGTGCTTCTAGCTCAGTTCATTCTCTCTGTGGCTTGTAGCTGACAGAGACAGCAATCTGACTTTGGATGTTTTGTTTCTTGCCGTTGACGATGAGGAGCAGAGGAGAGTCCACTCGTATACTTCTGAAATCAAGCGACTGTAGAAAAGACATGAAAAAGTCAGACACTCAGACATTATTGTGGAAATTTTTAGACAGGATGCGTTAAAACACTGACCTTATCTTTATGTGTTATACTGTGACGTTTGACTTGAGGTTCAGGAATGACGACGGAATCACCAATCAGGACGCCCCAGCTGTCCGCTGTGTTGTATACCATCACTACTATACAGGTCTCCTCACTGTCAACCATGCCAAACGTACTGGAGAAAAGAGAGTGCAAGGCTTTACACCACCACTATGAAAAAAAATCAAACTCAATCTGCACCATCACACCAGGTCTGACAAGAAGTGGACTAAAGTTAATGTTGAATCTGCCACTTACAAGGCCATACGACCCTCAGAGGCCAAGCTGAACACCACCTTCCCCAGGGCGGCCACCCCAGCATTATGGCCGTGTGTGAGGGAGTTCAGAGTTCGAGGCTCCAGGCTGCCAATACGACCGGACGGGGAGCGAAATTGAGGAGAAGAACAGGGACCCAAAGCTGACGTGTTGAGGTTCGAGAGCATCGTCCGTAACCGACGTGCCTTCACCTTCCCCTGAACACATGAAAGCACTGAAGGTTAGGAGAGAAGCAAGGCTGCTCTTTGCTGCCACCTTGTGTTGGTGGTATGTCATCTTGATAATGGTATGTATGACAATATAAGCAAAGAAGCATATGAATAATATATAATAACATAGAAATTGCTGTAGTGTGGGAGAGTGAGCTGCATCTTCACCCACCTTGTTCTGTATGAGTTCTGTCACTTTCTCCAGATATTCCAGCAGCTGCTTCTCTCGGTCTGGTGGCTCATCCCAGCCCGGGTCGAGCGCTGCTGCTCGACTATAACCGCCAAGCGCAGACCCAAACATCTCCTCATACTGGAACAGAGTGGCTCTGTTGAAATGCAGCTCCGGGTAACAAGAGGCAGCTCTGTCCACAGTCTCCTACAGAACGGTAAGATGGAAGTAAAATGTATTGTCAGTCCACAAACTCTTTTTAAACTATGGAGATGCTGTGTTCTTTGTGTTTGTGTACTCACAGATTGTGAATAGGCACTTAGAGCTTGTTGAGATAGCTGTGGATTCTGTCCACAGGAAAAAAACAGAGACACGTAGGCGTTTCCCAGGATGTCTGTAAAAACAGCAACATAAAACACAATTTAATAGGAGAACGTGTGAATTAACTTGACATCATTCTTTCTTTGGTAACAAACAAATTCCTTCGTTACAAAGAACAAAAGGACTACACTGTCTATTATGTCATGTTCCTCTGGTGTCCGACTCTCTACTCACACCAGGATGTCCCGTCTGTGACATCCAGCTGGACAGCTTGTCGGGCCATGTCCACACTCTCCAGCACCTGCTTGCCGTGTGCGTCTCTGTCAGCGACTGGTAGCTGCCTCAGCACCATAGACAAGTTGCGCAGAGACACTTTGTTCTTGTTCTACAGGGGTGGAAAATAAAGCACAGAAATATAGGTTCAAACAGGAAACCTAGAATGGCGGGACAGAGTTTATTCTTTAAGACTTTTCAGTGGTTAGTACTCAGAAACAGCCCTTTAATTCACTGGATATTGTCCCAGATTTTCTGTAATTTGGCAACTGGGAATTATGGATAAAAAAATCAGTTTATATAATTAAAAAATGCTGTAAATGATAACAGATGGTTTGCGTTTTTGAGCTTTCAAATGTACTTTTAATGCTTTTCTCCACATCTGGGTTTGTGATTACAGAATTAAGTTTTTATATAAGCCAAGGTGACTGAATGAAAAAATCACTATGTGGACAAACATGCCTATCTCCTTCCTTTACCTGCTGCAAGGCACCAGTAAAGCAGTTTTTGGCACCGATCAGATCTCCTTTTTTCCAGTACTGCTCGCCCAGTGTGTTCCAGCCCTCGACCAGGCCAGGCTCCAGCTTCACAGCGCGGGAAAGGCACTCCTCTGCTACAGTACTGAAGTCCGGAGCTGCATTCAGACACCTGCCCTTCTGCAGCAAAAACTCTGCTTTGTGTTTAAAGGACTCTGTAGGAAGACCCAGAGACACAGTGGGTGTGAGTAATAATCTGCAAATCATAAACTAGTGGGTTGCTTTGGAAATACAACACCTCACCTTCCTTCTCCTCCAGCTTCTTCAGTGTCCGTTCTACCTCCTGTGCCACATCTCTTTGTTTCCTTCCAGCTTCCTCCACGCTGTGAGTCTCAAAATAATGATCTCTGAAATTATACACTTCATCCACAAGGTCCTGTGTTGGAAAAGCAGGTGTTGGGGAGGTGAAAAAATAAATTAAAAATAGATCAAAGGGAACATTTCTCACAGCACAATCTGCCTGCAATATGTTGGCATTATTAGGCCTTGGAGGCTAAAGCCCCAAATGAAATATAAATAGCATTGAATCGAGAAAAAACAACAACTTCCAAAGCAAAAATATATTTTTTAAATAAAGCAGGCCTGGAGCTATCCATCCTAATCATGCATTAAACATCAAAAACACTGACAAAATGGCCAGTTCTTTGGAGCAACATTTACCAGGACTAAAGAAACCATTTTGGGTGTTTTTTGGCAGTCTTGCTAAAAGGTTCTTTGTAGAACTAAAGATATTTCTTCTATAGCACCATTGCAAAGAGACATTTTTGGTTCCAGTGTAGAGCACTCTACTCTGAATTAATCTGACAAAGGTGTTATGATCAGGTTGAAATCTAAAGACTGCTCAAAATGACAGAATGCTGTCGCTTTAAATGCTTGATGAAGCCAGTGATGCAAATATTCCCTGTCTGACAAGGGATTAAATGTCAAAATGCCAACAATGCCTCTGCTGTAGTACAATACTGAAATACACTGACAAACTGTTAGTGTCAGATGTCTGCATTTTCTGTAGTTTTTAAAGGTGTGAAACCTTGAGTACTTCTACAGAGCTCATTCTTGGTGCACTGAGCCTTATGCACACTGGCAATATGGTGAGTCAGCAAAAATCACCCAGACCCAATCAAAGAATGCATACACATCATTTATATGGAGATTTAAAAGGGTCATTTTAAAGATCAGAAGTTATTCTAAATAAAGAATAAGAAGTCTGGCGTTATACATATGCCACAGTGTGAAAAATAAAAGCCAGACACTAAAAGATGTGTTAGCATGACAGCCTGTTGTTATAGTAACGACTCGTTTAGGGCAAGTCCAGCAAGAAATGTACCAAACTGATCTCACCCGAAGTCAGCAAAACACAAAAGTCTTGAGACTGTCAGTGTCTTTGGATAATAGTGTGACACTGGTGACGGGACCTACCTTCATAATTTGCAGCTCGTTCTTTTCTTTCACAGGTTCACCACTCTTCTCGTCTTCCGCCATCTTTGCGTTCGCTGAGAGCAGCAGCCGCCTGTTAGCGACAAGAGCGGAGAAAGAGCGCAGCAAAATGCGGCAAGTTCCCAGAGAAGTGCACAATTTGAGACTCTAATGTCTGTATGCCGAGAGATAACGGTCACTTGTTTAGGGAAACATCACGAATGCAATTAGTTTTGGCACGGAGGAAGTGGGCTTTTAATACCAGTCCGTACTCAAAATGGGTCCGCTAAATAACTAATCGAAAATAAGGAAATTGACTTTATTGTGCTGTTTTATTCGTGAAATAGAACCCTTTAAGTGTTGTCGTGTATTTATTTCAGGTGACACAATTGTGAATATCAGTCGTGGACATAGCACCAGTCAAGCCGGAACGCTTGGACCTCAACCAATATGCTGGCCGGACACGTTTTCGTCACGTACCATACATACTTCTTTCCTAAAAGGGCGGCCAGTGTTCAACTTTTGTCCAGACACCGCTCAGTGTGACCGGTGTTTGTGTTGCTTTTAAATCCAGTTCGTCATGTCGGATACATGGAGCAACATCCAGGCACACAAGAAGCAGCTGGACTCCCTGCGGGAGAGACTGCAGCGGCGGCGGAAGGACCCCGCTCAGCTGTCCGCGGGTACGTTCGGTCAGGCCGGACCCTGAGTACCAGCAGGGTGGCAGCTAACGTTTGTTATTATGGAGTCAGTAGAGTATTCTTCCGAGTAATTATTTAAAAGTTTTACCTTTAAACTGTCAGGAATGAATATACATCTCAACTGGGGGCTATAAAAATCCTCAAACCTGCCAGCTGTTACTAAAAGTGTTTATTATTCCTCAGCCGTCTGACATGCGCAGACTGACGCTGATGTTTACGGTTATAATAGAAAACGTGACATGTTGAGATGATGAACTGCTGGTTGGACTTAATAAGTAGTAAACTATCTTTTCTTACCAATAATGAAAATAAATCTTAAATGGAAGCGTAGTTTTTGTTTGTTTGTTTGTTTGACGTCTCAATTATAACTATCTACATCTTCGAAATTGAGATTACAGAATGATAAATAGTGTCTTATTGATTTTTGAAAGTTCTGAAATAAGCTGCAATCTTTTAAGAGGAGTCCTCGAAAGTAAGTAGTTTGATAATACAACATGATGCTGAAATCCATCAGTGTGCTACTGGGACTTGTCCTATCCAGATTCCTGCAATAGCAGAATAGTTCATGTTTACATGGCACATTTTAGGTACTGATCATATAATAGGACAGAAAATAGGATAAATCTTGTAAAATTAATTGATATAAAATACTAAAAAATAAAACAAACAGGACAAGATGCGAGATCAGTTCATAAAATGGGAGAATACATGAAATCTTACAACTGTGAAGAGCAACCAAGAGCCCATAAATTCTGAGATTTTATTAAAAATGCCAGCTGAGGAGGAGCATTTGATTTCAAAAGGGAAGTTATTCTAAAGCTCTGGAGTTGCAAAGGCTTGTGAGTTGCGATTGTGGGACAGTTAAAAGCAGTTGTTTTAAGAGATGCAGGCTAGCTCTAAAATGTATGACAATTTGGTTTGGCCATCCAGCACTTAGCCTCCTGAACAGTTAGGATGACTGAAGATTATAAAGCTCAATTCTCTTTGAAGATGAGGGTGTTCACAACTTTATCTTAAAGTATTCCTTTACCTTTGTTATCCCCTCAGATGGTGGAGGCAGCACAGACAGTTCCACAGCCAGGAGTGACAGTCCAGCTCCGTCAACTCCGTTCACCTCTCAGGAGGAGACAGAAAAACCGCCGGACCCTGAACTAGAGAAGAGGCTGCTGGGATATCTTTCTGACCTGAGTCTTTCAATGCCAACAGACTCCCTTGCCATCACAAATGAACTCAGCAGTGTAAGTCTTTGTCTCATGGCAAATACTACTTCTAAATGTAATGTTTTCCTTGTCTGATGTCTTCCTTTTGTGCTTGTTTCTCTTCACAGTCAGAAACAGCCGTCACTCATGGATGCATCCAGAGTCTGCTGCTCAAATTCTCCGCTCAGGAGCTCATCGAGGTCCGACAGCCTTCCTCCACTTCTTCTTCTACAACCTCCTCCACTTCTTCCACAATCGTCGTAGCCGTGGACCACACAAAACTATGGGCTATGATCGGGTCTGCGGCTGGAGCCCAAAGAACTGGAGTCAAGAGAAAAGCAGAAGACCAAACCCACAGCAAAAGAGCTGCAGGCTTTTCTCCTTCCCTTCAGAGCTCTGCTTCTCCTCCACACTCATCCTCCACCACCTCCCTTACACCAGCTTCCTCCTCACACCTGGCAGGGCCTTTGGCGTCAGGGAGCGGGGCTGACAAGAAGGGCAGGAGCAGCAAAAGCCAGTCGTCTCATGTGGACATGGAGATCGAAAGCCTCCTGAACCAACAGTCCACCAAGGAGCAGCAGAGCAAGAAGGTAAGAGGGCTGATTATTATGACCAGTTGAGTTAAAAGTAAGGCAGGGTAGTTAGGAGGTGTGATTACTCATGCAGCATCATGTGATTTACTCATGTCCAGGTGAGCAGAGAGATTCTGGAGCTGCTGAATGCCAGCACAGCCAAGGAGCAGTCCATTGTCGAAAAGTTCCGCTCTCGTGGTCGAGCTCAGGTCCAAGAGTTCTGCGATCACGGGACCAAGGAGGAGTGTGTTCGCTCTGGAGACACACCTCAGCCGTGCACTAAGTTACACTTTCGGTAAGTACTTGCCTTTAAAACTTGTTTTAGCCTTTTACTTCTATCACCTGATATTACTAAATGTTTCTGTTACACACTGTATACCAGATGCCTCAGACAGACCTGAACTGATTTTGACTTGCTTTGGTTTTATTGTATTACACACAGCCTGGTACCAACCACTTACTTCACAAAACAAAAAAAGAGACACTGCTTTAACACTACCTGAAAACATAGAGATCAAAAATATATTACACAAAAAAACCAAAGCATTAATAACACAAACAAAGAGCTGTGCATTGAATTTAAAGATGACACCTTAAATTCATTTGATTTATTTCCACAGTAGTCCTCAGTGGTCCAAATTGTGATAACGATTGTTCTGCCTCTGCTGAAGTTATGATATGCAAATGTATTTATTGTCGATACTAATGATATTTAAAAATAGAATGTTCTTAGTAAATTATTTGTACAGTCACCTTTCCTACTTGTAAGAGACAATGAATTTTCATTGTTCAGTGTTTGAAAAATACTCTTGGTGGCCTGAAGATGGCACTGAATTATGATCAAATATTGTACAGTAACAGTGTTGCAGCTAAACAAGTGCATAATAGAAAAAATGTGGGGAGAAAAACAACATTTCGAACTTATGAAGGCCTTACTGCTACAACATCACTTTTATTTTAATGATATGGAAATTAGTTCTCAAAAAGAGTCTTTCAAACTCATATCTAAAGCCAAACTCTGTACACATTGTTGCTCAACTGTGATTTATTTTGGAACTGGACTGAATTTATACCAGATCAGTCACTGTTTGAAGCTGCAGTTTGAGGAGGGTCACGATGCAGATGCTTACTGCATCAATAATCAAAAATCTTGCTATTGCCTGATCATACAGACGTCAAAAGTCAGCTCTGATGTCTTCAGGTGTGAGATGTTCAATGGCTGGATGTTCGCTCAATCGGTGTCGCAAGTAGAAGTGTTGGAAAACCCTGGTCTACATAAAGAGGGTGTCTCTCGCTTTATTTGAACTTTTATGAAAACGCTTCGAGATTTAAAGGACTTGAAGCGTCTCCTTCATCCTCGATCAGATTTCCCTCGTGGCTGTAAACAGCTTGAATCTTGCATGCTGGATCTCAGGACTCGTGGACAGGCTGTTTCATTTTTTGGTGTGTACTATATATTTCGTCATTCAGTCGTATCATCAACAAGCACACGGACGAGAGTCTTGGCGACTGCTCCTTTCTCAACACGTGTTTCCACATGGACACCTGTAAATACGTCCACTATGAGATCGACAGCCCTCCAGAGGCCGAGGGCAGCCTGCTGGGGCCTCAGGCAGGGACCACAGAGCTCGGCCTCCACGCAGGGGACGCAGACAGCAACGTGGGAAAACTCTTCCCTTCACAGGTGAGGACGAAGAAAGATGATTTTGCAGGGCAATTTGAGACAGAATGATCAATAAACAGATGTTTGTTTTGTTTTTTTTTTCTTTCTTTTTTGTGGGTGTGAAAATTGTCTGATGTTATCCTTTGATTCCCAGTGGATCTGCTGTGATATCCGCTACTTGGACGTGTCCATCCTGGGTAAATTTGCAGTGGTGATGGCTGACCCTCCTTGGGACATCCACATGGAGCTGCCCTATGGTACTCTGACTGATGATGAGATGAGAAAACTTAACATTCCCATTCTACAGGACGACGGTTTCCTCTTCCTGTGGGTCACTGGCAGGTAAATAAAACAACCCAAACAGCCTAGAAAATAAGACTCTGCACTCGTATTATTGCCTTCCTCAGCAGGGCAGCCTGCTGCTTCATACTACCATTCATCTCACAACAGGACGGTTTCATTTTTAGCAGGGCATAAAGTCATTTTTTCATCCACAACTTGGTGTTCTGCAATGTCAGAATGTCAGAATGTCCTTGAAGTGAGCACCGAGTCACGTTGCTCAAGTTAATGTCAGCATTTTCCCTCATGGAAAAAAAAATTCCATAAGCCGTGACATTAATTACACACATATATATGTGTACATTTATTTTTTTCAACAAACCGCTTTACTTCACTTTGCAAAGTGGATCAACCTCATCACACCGTAGACACTGTGTTATGCCTGCAGAGGACGACCTAATCCAATAACACTTGATCAGATTCAGTAATCAGGAAATACTCACGATTTTAGCCCAGAATAACAATACTATCATAGGCTTCCAGACTTTGAAGAGACATTGCTATGAATCGAGCTTATTCAGGAGAAAACAAGATTTGTTTGAGGTAAAAGCTTTTGTGCATCAAAACAACAACACAACAGACAGATGCAAGGCCACGTTCCATATTGCTTCACCTCCTCACTAATGTGTGAGAGTCCCTGTTGATGGCAGTGATCCAGTCCTGCAAAGTGAAGTAATGTGGCTTCTTGACCAAAAAAAAGTAAGTGAATAAGTAGCAGTTAAAAAAAAAACTTTAGTGTAAGGTTTTAAAAACAAACTGACCAACAAAACTTTTGAAAAAGTTCAAGCCTGGTAAATTAAATCAAATGAGAAAAGAATTCGTGTTCCTCTGAGTTAGTTGTACCATATTTGGCACCGTGCAAAGACTACATTTTTCCTGATTTCTGTATATTCAAATTTAGTCCATAATTATTCTCACACATGCTTAAACTCGTTCTTGTTTTCATCCTACAGGGCGATGGAGTTGGGCAGAGAGTGTCTCAGCCTTTGGGGGTAGGTTCAGTACAGTTATCACCATGAGGTCATCTTCTTGTTTGGAGACCGTCTTATTTGTTTTCCTGTTGTTTTTCTGTCTCAGCTATGAGCGTGTTGATGAAATCATCTGGGTTAAAACCAACCAGCTTCAGAGAATCATCCGCACCGGCAGGACGGGTCATTGGCTGAATCACGGGAAGGAGCACTGCCTGGTTGGTTTCAAGCAGTCTGTCCTACACTGGATAGATAAACATGTTGGGTCACAAAACGTTAGGAATCTTGCCTCCAGCAGCTTTTTCTTTTTAATTGGTTGCTGAAGAGGCTGTGCCCTAGCTTGAAGGCGTTTTGGAACAAGATACTGATCAGCTACTGTCGCATTTTTTTGTGAGTGGAACTACAAAAGTGTATGCGTTAAATGTCAGAACTGTAAACCCGTGTGTTTGTCCTCAGGTGGGTGTAAAGGGAAACCCGCAGGGCTTCAACAGGGGTCTGGACTGTGATGTCATTGTGGCCGAGGTAAACGTCTACCTGTCTTCTGTTACATGTTCTGGTATTACCCATGATTCCTTCAGCCTGTGAAGTGTCTGCACTCTCTTTCTGTCAGGTCCGCTCCACCAGTCACAAACCAGATGAGATCTACGGCATGATAGAAAGACTCTCACCCGGCACCAGGAAGATTGAGCTCTTCGGTCGACCCCACAACGTCCAGCCCAACTGGTAACACACCCTCATGCTTTAACTTAAAAGCCAGCTAACTGTTGAGCATATTTTTTTTAAATATACTGAATGCCCCTTTTATTCCTCCTCCAGGATAACTCTTGGAAACCAGCTGGATGGCATTCATCTGCTGGATCCTGAGGTTGTAGCTCGATTTAAGAAGCGTTATCCAGACGGCGTCATCTCCAAACCCAAAAACATGCAGTGATGACATCATTAGTGTTCTGCAGGAGTTTGTTTGTAGATTGTTTTTATTTTGTTTTTTATATACCTGTGAACATTTTTTAAAATAAATATTGTCAACAAAATCCACTATCACTGAAGAAATAGTGGTTTTCACTAAATTTGGAGCTGTTGCCGCATTTTTCTGTGTGTTTTTGTTCATGAGGCCCATATTTAATGCTGCAAAACATATTCACCATCAATAAAAACACAGGAGACATTCTAATACAAATGCTTTATTTTGTTAGTTAAAAATGAAGATTTTGACTTTGTGGATTTTAACAGGCGATCATTTGTGGTTTTTGGAGTCAGCATTTACCTTCCTGTCTGTTTATTTTCAGAGAAATACAGACTCCTGTTCTGTTCATCCTTAAAATCTGCTTTTAGGGTTTCCAAAAAAGTCAGCATTTCATTAACACAACTGAGACCTTTATAGTTATAAAAATATTAAAAGAAGCATGACTAACAAAATATGTAAAAGAAATACAGTTGCTGTGCAGCTCAGTTTACTTCATGAGTTTTCAAAAAGGAACTAACGAGAAGCCAAACAGCTGCTAAACATCCTCAAACTGGTCAGTGTGTATTATACACAGTGTCAACATGACTCTTGTGCAGTCGGTGGGTAGGGCTGAGGTGAATTCCTTTTATAAAACAGCAAATTGTCTTCTGATTATGAGTATTTAACGCTCAACTCCCAAGGTTTTGTGTCACAGAGCAGAATTAGAAAATTAGCCAAGTCCTGTGTTTTGGAAAATGATTCAGTCACTTGTGATGATGATGATGATGATGCCTGCTAATGATAAGGTTCAGATTGATGTTCATAATTACACTGTGAAGCCCTATTTAACACCAGCCATGATCTAATCAGCAAACTGAAAACTGAGCAGTTTTTTTTCTCAAAAAAAGTAGTTAAAGATAAAAAGAAATGCAGTTTTTAAAAAATGTAATGCACTTATCGGTAGTGAATGCTGTAAACAAACTCTATGTTGTCCTCCACCTCATCACTTTGATGGCTGGCAGTGGATCCATTCCGTTCAGTCTTATGAAATCTGAAAACCGAGTCTCTTTCAGTCTGTTTCCCTCTGTCCCTTGCTGAATCTGATTAGCCATCAAGAGTTCTGTGTGGGCGGCGAGGAGCAAGAGGTTAAAATGTGACCCGCAGCTCCGCACGACTACTGTTGATCACATCTAAAGGTGACGTTAGATGCATTTGCTCAGCTATCAGGCCTCCTAGCTCTGCACCACGGGCTCCAAGCGTGAACGGGCGACGGTAAATGGAGTCCGTTAAGCTCCTCTGCAGGCTCCTCAGTAGGTGGCGTCCACTGCGTTGATGTTGCTGTCCAGCTGGTGCCTGAAAGACAGCCTGGCCTTGGTGGAGAAGTAGATTTGTGAGCCCCGACTGAGGGTTCCTGCTCCTTCGCTGTCACTGCCCCAGGATGTTGTGGAGGACAGACGAGGATTCATCTCCTCAATGGGAACTGAACAGATAGAAAGTCAAGCTTCATCAGGCTGTACTATCATGGATTTGATCTACAGCGATATTATTTGAGTATAGTTGCTTCTCACCTGCTGCTGGGGGGCATTGCCTGCTCTTGCAGCGTTCTTTACAGCGTCTGTAGAAAGGAAAACACTGGAGCATCTTCACACCCATGACAGCCACCTGAAGAAAGAGGAGAGCAAACAAACATAAATGTCAGAGTCATTTTAATGCACAGGGTTCCTTTTTAGAGAGAGAGCATAAAGATAAAGCAAATCTCAGCTCCACCAATGACAAACGTTGCCTTAAATATGAATTAAACTGTTAAACCAACTTTCCAACACTTCATCTGCAGCTCACGTTTAAGCTGCCTTATCATTGTGACGCCAGGTCTGCTGACAGTTCCTTGTCTCCTCTCCAGGTCACAGTTTAATGGAATTATGATGCTGCACTTCAGCAACACGATAGCTTAATGTAAGCTGACAGTATCACTGAATGGCGCGGCGGCCCAGCAACCAGCCAGCCAGTCAGTATTTACCATCATCGCCATCATCCTGCACACTGTGTAATCCTGGAAAAGGACGTCAGTGCACTACTGCAGCCAGAGGAGTTGATAAGCTCTGTTCTAAGAACCAAACAGATTACGCAGAGGTGATCTGATGGAGTCGTAGCTAATAGGCACACAGGTCAAAGCGGGTCAAAACAGCTGTTTTACATCAGTAGTGGAACACCATTCCACCTTGACTTGTCCTACTGCGGATCTGGACCAAGACAAGACAGTCAGATTCATGATTTCCCTCAGGATTGTCTGTCTATCTGTGGCAGCGAGTGCCAAGATAAAGTGAGCGCCACACACCAGCGCAGAGCTGCATTTGAGAATTTAGAAAGAGAAAAAAAAGGTATTTATTTTAGTCTAATCAGGTTAAGAAATGGGTCAGGTGAAATGGAGCAGAAGGAGGTTGCGACTGCTGTAACTGTGCAGGATTCATTCTTTTACTGCAAGTTACCTCAACTTTTATAGATAACCGTTAACATCAGCAGCCTCATAAACAGTTTACTGAACAGTTTATTAGTCTTCTTTCAAGCAAAGAACAGCAATAATACACTACATCAGCCACTTAAAGTAGCTTTTGGGACACTTAACAATAGGAGGAGGTTGTGCAATCTTATACAGAACATATTAAAGTGTATCATAACTAAGATCTCAACTGCTAGATGTTGGGCTTTACTTTTTATCTACGAACTTCATTTTAAAGAATTATGTTGTGAAAATTAGATTAAAAAACTAAAGACGGGTGGTTTAATTCTTCATGGATGCAAAATGACAACAAAATAGGACAAAAAACAAGAACAAAAAGAAGCAAAAAGGGTTAGAAAGAGACAAAAATGGCCATAAAGAAATGCAAAATTAGACAAAAAAAAAAACAACCACCAGTGCTCCACTGTGGCATGCATAGGGAGGCTTCTACATGTCTGTGCCCATGATTGCAAAAAAATTGGATATGAATAACAATTTTTGTCATTTGACATTTTGCCATGTCAAGTCACCAATATTTATATAGCACAATAAAAGAAGAATAGAAGTTTACCCAATGTGCTTTCCAAGAAAATGTATGGTTGTTTATTTAGCAAAAGTTGTGTTGAAATACATTAGTAGACCTTTTATGTGAAAATCAAACCATGCCACTGGTGGCTAACCCCTTCAGTCAACTACCGTTTCATCACCTGAGTCTGAAATAAACCGTCGACCTCATCAGTGTGATGGGAAAACCCTTCTGGTGTGATAATCCACTGAGCCCCATTGTTCACTGATCACAGAGACACAGATTTCTGGGGACAAATATTAAACTGTGATTGCAACATAAAGCAGAGGCAAGCTTTCTCCCCTCCACTGTTTACTGCTGATTCCTCATCCTGCTTGACTCGGTGAGGCAGTTTTATGGAGATGTGTCAGCTCGCACATTTCGCACAGAGCTGCTGCAGCACATTAGAGACAAGCCGGGAGGAAGATGTGTCCACTAAGTGAAATTTCACAGCCACAGTAAGAGCCTTTTCCCCTTCTCTGTTTCTTACCATCTCATGCGCCTCCCTCCTCTGTTTCGCTCAGGTGTGGCTCTGAAACCCTATCCATTCACAGACACAGTGAGTCCATTATGTTTAGGTCAATTTAGAGGTTCTGCCTGCCAGATGAGAACTCACAGTATAGCAGCCATTGTAAAGAAGAAAGAACAGGGGCAGACTGACCAGGTTTTTCCCCCTCCTAGTTTCCCACACAAACACACACAATATTAAGGCCCTGGTCAGTGGTGAGGAATTTCGGGCACAGATCATGATTGGCTGTGGGGGTCTGGCAGCACACAGCAGGCTGGGAGCCCGGAGGAGAAAAACAACCTCAGATGGCAAACACATACACTCACAGTACCCACATTGACCACAAAGGGGAGGGGGTGGAAAGTAAAAGCAGTGGAGGCAAAAGACCAAATAGATAGAGGATGTGATGGGAAAGAAGAAAAGGAAGACGAAAGAAGAAGAAGGCTTACAAAGTAGAAAGAGGCGGGTACTGTTCTGTACTTAACCTCTTTTCTCTCTAAGTTTTTCTCAAACTGGGGGCTTCAGCCTGCAGCCAGCTGATGTTTACATGCACTTACAGCTCCTGAATAATGTGGTTTTACTAGTTCAATCAGTGGAGCCGCGCTGATGAAGCTGAAAATTGCGCAATCCCTCCAGAGAGGGCTTGTGGCTCATGATTTACGCCTGTTTTGCCTCACGTGTCGGAGGCTTTCATAATTTTGAGTGCATGACTGTGCATGTGTGCATTTACAAGGAAATTGGATGTGATAGTTAAGGTACCGAAACATGTTCCCTGAGTGCCAATTTTCCCCCAAACAAACCTCATCAGACCTCTCTGTTCACACTCAGCCCCTTATCAGTTGTGCGAACAATGTTAACACAAGCAGAAAAGCTCATACACTTACAGTAGTGTGATAACAATCTTCCCACAGGTCCACAATTCCACCCAGCTGCCCTTTTCCACTCAGTCCCTGGAGCTTCATGAAAAAAGTGAAGTCCTGCGTCCCTGCCCTCAACACAAAGCCTCACACAGGCCTGCCAGACTGGATGACGCACACATGCTGTGCATGTATACCTGCACAAGCATGCGTGTCCATTAATAGCAGCATACAATCCGCTTTCATTCATATTCATCAGACACAATGGATAAAGCAGCTTCTAAAGTGTTTCTACAGAACATCTAAGGCTCTTGCTGCTTTATATTTCTACTTTACCACATCTTTGAACCACATTTTGAACTTTTCACTCCATGACATTTATCTGTCTGCCTCTAGTGTGTTACTATTACGTAATGTACTTGAGGTTAGGCTGTTGAAAAAATAAACAAGTGCTGCATATTTATATTCAGCTTACAAGTTAGTAGATCAAAAAACTACACGTGCTTTTCAGTATATACAAAACACTGAGTGGTGTTATTCTGCAAAACTTAACATTTCATAGTCAAGGAACAACTTGCTGATCAGATGGTCTCTGCTTCTACTTTAAATCCAAGAGTTTAGGGACTGTATGAAAATTATTAGGGTGGGTAAAGATGAACCTTATTTTAATTTAGTGAAGAATCGATAGTCAATGTAT